TCGTGAAGGGCTGCGATGCTTGCGAAGAGCTGCTGGGTAACCTCGGCGTTGTCGAAGGTCGCCATCCTGTTCAAAACACGTGGGGGGGGGGGGGGGGGGGGGGTAATTCACAAAATGCAGAGCTGGTGCTTACCAGAATCGACGCAGAATTCGTCGCCCCCGGCGGTTTTTCGAGGCAGGTTTTCCCGCTGCTGCTGCTTTGTTTGAGCGCGGCCGAGTGAGAAAAGCTCTGATTACCAAGTGTCACAGGATCGAATGTGTCGAGGAAAGATTGTACTATTGATTGATACAAGGCGCTTTTATACTTCCAGAGTACATCAAGTAACTAGGCTTATCCTATCCAAGGGAATAGACCCTTCTAGAAAATAGAATCAACCTGCGTATAGCCACGCGAGGCTATTGGATTTAAGGGATTATGACAGGATTACGCTAGATATAGCGCGCCAGTGCATCCCGAGCCTGGTCGGTGATTATAATTATAATAGCAGGATAAACCAAATGATAATGGAAATTGGAGAATAGGAAACCGAATGAGATGGGATAAAGAGAATGGAAATAAGGAAAAAGACAAGTGGTGTAACGGGGTCGTACTCTCACATCCGCTGCCGTGGTGGCTTGGCGTTTTCGGTGATGGTGGTCATGGTGGTGGCGCACGCAGCTCGGCGTTGGGTGGCGGCTCCAGGGAGGTTACCTTCCAATACCAGCTTCAGACCGGCCCCTGCTGTGGCGCCGTGTGTGACCACCCGGTCACATCGCCGCCCGCTGCTACCGCTGCCTTGACGTGTCTTCCGTCTCTGATTCGGCCCTGCGCCGGACCTCCCTGACTGGCACAGCCTGGTACGCCGCCGTGTGCCGGTCTTTTAGATGGATAATACCAGATTCGCTCTGCTTGTATGCCATGTATGCTGATGACTCTAGTGTGACTGGACCTTATTACCCTGTATTGCCTAGCATAGGTGTACCCACTGGCGTAGTCTAGGCTCCCCTACTGCGTCAGACGTAGGATTTCCGGCTTGGTCGAGCCTAGGCTCCACGCTAGTGCCCCCGCCGGCTGATGCTACCACCACGCTCTCGTTCACGCTGGACTCTGGTGCATCTGCCTGCTTTTTTCACGACCGCACTACGCTCACACCGCTTGCCGCTCCTGCGGCTGTAGTGCTTGCTGACCCCACCTCAGGTCTGGTAGTTGCAGGTAGCTCCACCACCCTACCCTATCTAGCGGTTCCCTCAGGCTCCCTTACAGGCTTGCACATCCCCTCGTTCTCCAGAAAAGCTAGTTGGTGTCGGCTGTCTTCAGGACCTAGCCGTGGTGCGGCTGGAGGCTCTGTTATGGGTGTGGAATAGCAGCAGCAGCAGCACCAGTCACCTCTGGTGTTCGACCTTCGCCTCCAGGGTCTTCCCTCCCCCGACCGCCTGCCCGCGCCTCCCCCGGTGCCGCCTCCACCGCCTGTCTACGGTCCTGTGTTTCCTCCGCCAGACTCGTCCCCAGCTCGTTTCCCCTCTCGTTCTCTTCCTGCGTCTCCTGACGCGACGCCTCCCTCCCACTTCTTGTCTCGACGTCCCTCTCTTGCTCGTCCTGTCTCCCCTGTTCAGCGCTCTCACCCTCTGTTGCTCCATTCTCATGCGTCTCGTGCTCCTCTTCTCCCATCGCCTCCTCACTCATCCATTGTTGTCTCTCAGTCTCCTCTCTCTGACTTTCTTTGTGTTGCTCGTCCTCTTGTCCCTCGGGTCCTCGCCTCTCTTGTTACACACCCATCCATTCTTATCTCGAGTCTTGACGCTCTTTTTGCCGCAGTTACTGACTTTGCCTCTACCCTCCACCTTGACTACGCTACTTCTCTAGTCTCTGACCCTGCCTGTCCTCCGTCCGTCGGGGGTGCGCCTGCCGTAGGCAATAACGTCCTAGAGGACAGGCAGTACAAGCTCGCTTTCCTGTCCAAGGCCGCTCCTCATCTCTGCTCCATGCTGCTAGTACATGAGGGTGACCTAGATGCCCTTGACATCCCGACTTCTCGTACTTACGCTGAGGCGACCTCGGGACTCTGGGCTTCACAGTGGATAGCTGCCATGGACGCGGAGATGGCATCTTGAAGATCCACAGGCACCTACGTCGACGCAGTTCCCCACCAGCGGTGAAAGTAGGCGATGGCCGGTTGCTCTTCAAAATAAAGCACCATTCTGGAGAGCTGCCAGTATTCAAGGCGCGCTACGTTGCTAGAGGCTTCAATCAGCACGAGGGTGTTGACTTCTTCTAGACCTTCGCCCCGACCTCGAAGAAGCACTTGAGGACTTGCCGAAATATGGTGAACACTCGGTGCACGCAACAGCTAATCTAGATAACACATACAGTTATGATAACCGAGAATAATCCAAATAACCACTTTGGATAAAATCATACGAGTGATTAAAAGGATTATTCTAGGTAATCAATAGTATCATAGAAAATATAGAAATAGTCCTTTCTCCTAGGAAACCTATCCTGCTATCACACATGGTGTGATCTCATACTCTATTGAAATCCACGTAATTTTGAAGCTCTTGAAGTTTGCTGTTCTTCTAACGCGTTTGTGCATCTAGGTTCTGAGAAAATTCATCCTTGATAGCTTGTGATGGGCTTCATGCCATCTGGGCATGCTCCATCCCTTTAGGACCAATGGGAGTAGATGCGCCTATAACGTTTTGGACAGCACAAGGTGGGTTCGGCTACCAACGCCAAAGAAATTGTGTGTTGGCAGAATCTTGACAGCATGTTTCTACAGTCAAGATGCTCCTGTAATGCAGTCGTTACACCCCAGGGATCAACAACTGCGATGTCGTCATCCCCGTCGAGCTGTTGCAACAACCTCTTTGAAGAAATCTGGGGGGGTCATGTCTCCCTCCGTCAAGGGGTCTCTGTCAACTTATATATATGCATTATATATAGAAGTTATAGACTAGATAGGTTTGTGTGTTTAGAGGGTACAACACCAACCCTATATGTCCCCTGTATATCCTTGTTCTAGCTACTTAGCTACTCTAAGATGGTATCACGCTAGGTAGGTCCCACCACACTCCACCATACCCGCCTGCCCCTTGCTCCTCCTCCACCTGAGCTCTCCAGCTGCTGAAGCTGTACGTGATGGAGGACGCCGTTCTCGCCTGGACGCAGAGGGTCGGGCTGTTGACTTTGAGGCGTGGCTCGCCGACCTGCACCGCCAGCTAAAGGGTCAATGCCAGGACGGCAAAGCTCTAGCCGTCCACGTTGACGGTGATCGGACCTGCCCTCCCGTGCCTGCTGCCCTCACTAACGCCCTCACGCCTGCTGAGCGTGAGGATTTCACCGCAGCTGAGCTCACCCGCTATGTTTGGGAGTCGCGTGACGTCGTTGCAAAGCTTGCTATTAGCCACGCCCTCCCCCTATCGGAGCGTCCCCACTTTCAGGCCCTAGAGACGGTGAAGGAGTACTTAGACGCAATCATTGCTCAATATTCAACTCCCTCCTCCGCCTCTGCTGGCTGTCTCCTCCTGCCCCAGCTCTTCCCTGATCTCGTGTCCTTCCCTACTGTGAGAGTACGACCCCGTTACACCACTTGTCCCTTTTCTCATTTCCTTTCCATTTCATTCCTCTTTTTATCTCATCTCATTTGGTTTCCTATTCTCCAATTTTCCAGTATCCTTTGGTTGATCCTGCTATTAAAATTATATCACCGACCAGGCTTGGGATGTACTGGCACGTTATCCAGCGTAATCCTGCCGTAATCCCTTAAAGCCAATAGCCTCGCGTGGCTATACGCAGTGTGATTCTATATTCTAGAAGGGTCTATTCCTTTGGATATGATAAACCTGGTTACCTGATGTACTCTGGAAGTATAAAAGCGCCTTGTACTCATCGATAGTGCAATATTTCCTCGAGTCATTCGATCCTGTGACACTTGGTAATCAGAGCTTTTCTCACTCGGCCGCGCTCAACAAAGCAGCAGCAGCGGGAAAACCTGCCTCGAAAAACAACCAGGGGCGACGAATTCGACGCCGATTCTGGTAAGCACCAGCTCCGTGTTTTGTGAATTCCCCCTCCCACGCGTGTTTTGAACACGATGGCAACTTTCGACAACGCCGAGGTTACCCAGCAACTCTTTGCGCGCATCGCAGCACTTCATGAGGAGCTGCGAGCGGATCGCGAGGCGTGGCGAAACGAGTCCGAGCGAGTAACTCGACTCGTCGGAGCGCAGCACGACTCGACAACGGCGACGACGCAGCAATCGCAATAGTTTCTCGAGGCTCCGAAACCGTGCCCACCTGAGCCGTTCGATCCGAGCGATCGAAACTCCGACGCACGCAGATGGATCGCCGGGATGGAGATCTACTTCGCAGCCGTCGGATGGATCTCGCCAGTCTGGGACGGTCAACGCGTACGACTCGCGGCGACGCTGATGCGAGGACCGGCACTCAAGTGGATTGGCGGCAACCGCACCTTCATCCACGGTAAAGCCACGTGGCCGCACTTCCGCGCTGACCTGCTGAAACGATTCGAGCCGATAAATTCGGGTTTCCTCGCCCGCGAAAAAATTCATCGCCATCGACAGTTCGGGAGTGTAGCGCAGTACATGCAGCAGATGGAATAATTTTTTAACCGAATTCCCGACCTGACCGAAAGGGGAAAAGGTGCAATTGTACCTCGCCGGGCTGAAGACCAAAGTCAAACGACAGGTGTCAGCGTCAAACTACACGAGCTACAGTGACGTCGTTTCGGCCGCGGAGCACTTCGACATGGTCCACGCCGGGACACGACGGACGCACGTCGGCAGTACGCGACAGGGCGACCGCTCGGCTCACACCACGTTAGCCGACCCGATGGAGATCGACAGATTCGACGGGCGGCCACGTCCGAAAAACACCAACTACACGTGTAATTTTTGTGGGGTGCCGGGCCATCGAATCCACAAAACTGCTTTACGAACTCGGTATGGGTCGTACGAGTATCTGGTAATGCCGTTCGGACTCACCAACGCACCGGCAACATTCCAAGCCGAAATGAACCACATTCTACGCCCACTTTTGGACGAATGCGTGGTGGTGTACTTGGACGACATCCTCATCTACTCGCGCGACATGAAGCAGCACGTTGAACACCTACCCCGTGTCTTCGAAATTCTGCGACGAGAAGGATTCTACATCAAACTATCCAAGAGTGAATTCGCCCTTGAGAAGGTTCAATTCCTAGGCCACTTGGTGAACGCCCAAGGAGTTCACGTCGACCCCAAGAAAATCGAAGCCGTACGTACGTGGAAGACACCCGAGAACGTGAAGGAGTTGCAGCAGTTCCTACGCTTCGCTAATTACTACAACAGGTTCGTGCCACAGTATGCGAAACTCGCAGCACCACTCACGAATCTGCTGAAGAAGAACACGCCCTATAAATGGGAGACGAAGCACCAGGAAGCCGTGGAGCAGCTGAAACGAGCACTGACGTCCGCACCAGTACTCATCTTGCCAGATCCCGAACGCGACTATGTCATCGAAGCTAACGCCAGCGACCAAGCAGTGGGAGCTATCTTGATGCAAGACCAGGGGAATGGACTGCAACCAATCGCCTACCTCAGCAAGAAACTGCACGGGGCAGAACTAAACTACCCAATACACGACAAAGAGGCCCTTGCCATTGTCATCGCCTTCAAAGCGTGGAGATGTTATCTCGAAGGACGCAGAACAACCGTCTACACCGACCACTGTAGCCTGAAATATTTGAAGACACAACCCAACCTTTCCAAGCGACAGGTCCGGTGGATCGACTTCCTCGAGACACACTTTCACTACGACATCGTGTACAAGCCCGGCCACAAAAACAAAGCAGACGCCCTCAGCCGGCCTGCACACGTTGCCGCTATTCAGGTTGAAGGGATGAACCCACTACTCAAGGGACTCTTCACACACGGGTACACCATCGACCCCGAAATTTCCTTGGCAAAGAAGCGACATCTACTCCAGTGGGACAATAACGTCGCGTATCGGAAGGGATCAACAAAAATCTGGATACCTAATTACCCTCCTTTGCGCCAGTTACTACTCGAAGAATACCACGACGTCCTCTACGCCGGACATTTCGGTAGCAACAAGACGCTGACCGGTATCGCGAAGCACTACTACTGGCCCCACTTGGCAGACGATGTTCAGAAATTCGTCACCTCGTGTGATACATGTCAGCGGATGAAGAGCAGTAAGCAGAAGAAAGCAGGACTGCTACAGCCTCTTCCTGTCCCAGAACAACCATGGCAAGTGGTTAGCCTGGATTTCATCACCGGGTTACCACCTACCACCAGCGGTCATGACGCATCCTTGTCGTCACCGACAAATCCTCTAAAATGGGACACTTCATCCCGACACACACGACGGCACACACCGAGGAGACAGCACAACTCTTCGTTCGCTACATCATCTCATAGCATGGCATTCAAACTACACTTATCTCCGACCGAGACCCCAAGTTCACCAGCAAGTTCTAGAAGGAACTCATGTCTCTGCTCGGGACCAAATTCGCCATGTCATCCGCATACCATCCGCAGACAGACGGACAGACCGAGCGCCTCAACCAAATTGTTGAGCAACTCCTCCAAGCAGCCTGTAAAGACGAGATCTCCAAATGGGACTTGCACCTGCCCGTTCTGGAGTTTGCTTACAACAACGCTACACATGCCGCTACTGGACAGACGCCGTTCTTCCTGTGCTACGGACGCCACCCACTCACACCACAGAAACCGACAACATCAGCAACAGTCCAACCTGCACACGACTTCATCACGACCATGCATCAGCTTTGGGATCGGACCCACAAGCGCCTCCTTGACATTCAACAGCAACAGAAGCGCCAGGCCGATCGCCATCGCAACGACCACACCATCATTGTGGGAGACCAGGTGCTCCTTGACACCCGCAACCTGGACATCAGCCATCTTCCATCTAAACTTCGACCTTGCTTCTGCGGGCCCTTCCTCGTTGAAGCACAGGTCACCCCTGTTACCTTCCGCTTACGCCTGCCAGCTACCTGGAAGATTCACAACGCCTTCCATGTCCAACTGCTGAAGCCCTATCGGGATCCTAACACGATCTTCATCGGATGCCAGCCACCGCCGCCGCCGCCCGTCCTCATCCAGAACGAACCCGAGTACGAGGTCGAGTCCGTGCTTGCACATCGTCGACATCGAAATGGCACCGTGGAGCTTCTTATTCGTTGGAAGGGTTATGATCCTTCTGAGGACAGCTGGGTCTCTGAGACCGACATGGGTAACGCCCGTCGTCCTCTGCATGACTACCTTGTCAAGCAGGGTGTTACTTCTACCACCCAGCTTTGAGGGGGGGAAGTGTGAGAGTACGACCCCGTTACACCACATGGCCTTTTCTCATTTCCTTTCTATTTCATTCCTCTTTTTATCTCATCTTATTTGGTTTCCTATTCTCCATTTTTCCAGTATCCTTTGGTTGATCCTGCTATTATAATTATATCATCGACCAGGCTTGGGATGTACTGGCACGTTATCCAGCGTAATCCTGCCGTAATCCCTTAAAGCCAATAGCCTCGCGTGGCTATACGCAGGGTGATTCTATATTCTAGAAGGGTCTATTCCTTTGCATAGGATAAACCTGGTTACCTGATGTACTCTGGAAGTATAAAAGCGCCTTGTACTCATCGATAGTGCAATCTGTCCTTGAGTCATTCGATCCTGTGACACCTACTGTTGCTGCTCTTGCCACTCATCTACGCACCCTTGGGACTATCTACCGCGCTGCTAGCACTAAGGCTAAGCTCACTCTACCTCCCCCCCCCTTGGTGCTACACTTTATTTCTTAGCCACGTGCCTCCCGGACCACCTAGCCACTGCCTGCAACACCTTCCTCATTCTTCACCCTGCTGACCTATCCCTTAGCGACTTCGTCGCCACCCTGTCGGCGATAGAGACCCGCCAGCGCACTATTGCTCAGTCTGGTGGTACTGCGGCGGTCCTTATCTTCAAGGGCGGTGCTCCCTCCCAGTGCACTTACTCTGACATCTCTACAGCTATCGCTAAGACAATCCTTGTCGATGCGACCGCCGCGGCAGCCTTATCGCAACCGCATCAGGGTAGAGCCCCCCGACTCCCCAAGGAGGGGCATAAGGGAGGGAAGGGGGCTGTGAGTGGTGAGGGTGGCGGGGGAGGTGGCGTCGGCGGGAGTGCTAGGAGTGGAGACGAGGGGGTGGGGGCTGACGCCCCAGAGCAGCATTAGCAGAGGCAGCAGCAGCACTTCCAACAGCATTAGCAGAGGCAGCAGCAGCACTCCCAGCAGCAGCAGCAGTGCCAGCAGCAGCAGCACTGGGGGGCCCCGCCGCCGTGGTGGCCGTGAAGCTTTGGTAGTGGTGGCTGCGCAGGCGGCCTTCGCAGCTCAACTTTGGGTGGTGGCTCCAGTGCGGTGAGTTGTCAGTACCAGCTTCAAACTGGTCCTCGTCGAGTCACCGTGTGTGACCGTCCCGGTCACACCGCCGCCCACTACTACTGCCACCTCAGCGACCTCTTTCGTCTACGTTTTGGGCCCTCGCAGGCCCTTCCGGACTGGCAAGCCTGGTGCGTCGCCGTGTGCCAGTTTTTGAGATGGATATGGATCTGATTCGCTCTGCTTTCTATGCCATGTATGCCGATGACTCTAGTGTGAATGTACCTTATTACCATGCATTGCCTAGCTGTGTGTAGTCTAGGCTCCCCTTCTGCATCAAGCGTAGGACCTCCTGACTTGTTTAGCCTTATCTCCACACTAGTGCCCTCGCCGACAGCCGCTACCGCTGCGCTCTCCTTCACGCTAGACTCTGGTGCATTCGCCTGCTTCTTTCGCGACCACACGCTCGCGCCGCCTTTTGCCCCTGCAGCAGTCGCCCTGGCTGACCCCTCGTCCGGTCCGGTAGTTGCACGTAGCTCCACCACTCTTCCCTGTTTGGGGGTTCCCACTGGCTCTTTTACAGGTGTGCACATCCCTTTGTTCTCCAACGTGGTGTCGGCTGTCTTTAGGGCATTGATGTCGCTAACATTCTTATACTGTGGCTTGTAGCTGCGTCAGTCCACCGCACGCAGCTAGTGCCGCGTCTTCACTCTGACCGTGGCGGTGAGTTTGCCTCCGGTCGTCTTGGCCTGTTCTGTCGTGCAGAGGGCATCGAATCGTACACACTGGCGGACTCCCCACAGCAGAATGGGGTCGCTGAGCGATGCATCGGTTTGGTCATGGAGGTGGCTCGTACCTCCATGATCCATGCCAGTGCACCCCATTTGGTGTGGCCGTTTGCAATTCGCTACGCCGCTCACCAGCTTAACCTGTGCCCGCGCTCCCAGCAGCTGCAGGTTTTGCCGACCCTCCTTTGGACTGGGTTCCTTGGTAACGCATCTGCGTCCGCTGCTCTCGTGCGGACAAGCTCACTGCCCACACAGTCCCTTGTGTCTTCCTTAGGTTCCCCCTTGACGCGTATTTCACTCGCACGACGTCGCCTTTGACAAGTCTGCCTCCTTCTACACCAGCTTTCCCCACCGAGATCTCTCGGTTACCCCACCCCTGTTCCTTGCTCCCACTCCCCCGGTAGCTCCTGCTTCCCGTCCTGCCCTGTCTGGTGTGTCACACGTCACTCCCCTTCCTTCGATTGGCTCGGCGGAGGAGTTTGCTAATTCCCGGGGCTCCGAGGCTCGGTGTCCGCCACCTATTTCTGTGGAGCCTACACCCTCGGCCCGGGTGTCTCCTCCGCCACCGCAATAGCAGCAGCACTCTCAACCGCAGCAGCAGTCACCACTGCCGCAGCAGCAGCAGCAGCCACCGCAGCAGCAGGGGCCAGTTCGCTCCAAGGATGTTGGCGCTTTGGGTGCTGGTTCTGTGGAGTTCTGGGGTTGCTTGTCCTAGGGGTGCTGTCGTGGCGAGTACTTGGGGTAGCCATGGTTCGGCTGGAGGTCCTAGTGTGGGCACAGAGTAGCAGCAGGAGCCATAGCAGTAGCAGCAATAACCGCCAGTTTCCGCCCTTTGCCTCCTCGGTCTTCCCTCTCCTGAATGACCGCCTGAGGCTCCCCTAGCGCCGCCTTACGGCCCCATGTTCCCTCCGCCGGACTCCTCCCCGGCTCGTTTCCCCCCTCGTTCTCCTCCGGTGTCTCCTTCGTTATATCCTGACCCTACTCCCCCCTCTTGCTGGTGGTCTCACCGCCCCTCTTGTGCTCGTCCCGTCCCTCCCGTTCGAGTGTTCACCCTATGTCTCTTCATTCTCATGCGTCTCATGCTTCCCCCCCTCCTCTTCTCCCGTCGCCTCCTCAGTCGTCTCTTGCTGTCTCCCCACCTCCTTTCTCATACTTCCTCCGTGTTGCTCAACCCCTTGTTCCTCGTGTCCTCGCCTCTCTTGTTACCGACCCGTCCGTTCCTGTCTCCAGTCTCGACGCTCTTGTCGCTGCCATCGCTGACTTTGCCTCTACCTGCCGCCTTGACCATGCCACTACTCTAGTCTCTGACCTTGCCCGTCCTCCGTCCGTCGGGGGTGCACCTGCCCTTGGCAATGACGTCCTCGAGGACAGGTTGTACAAGCTAGCTATCCTGTCCGAGGCCGCTCCTCATCTCTGCTCCATGCTGCTAGCCCCTGAGGTTGACCCAGATGCTCTTGACATCCTGACCCCTCGCACCTACGCTGAGGCGACATCGGGACCCCGGGCCTCTCAGTGGATAGTCGCCATAGACGCAGAGATGGCATTTTGGAGATCCGCCGGCACCTACATCGACGCACTTCCACCACCTGGGGCAAACGTAGTCGACGACCGGTGGCTCTTCAAGGTGAAGCGACCTCTAGGAGAGCCATCGATGTTCAAGGTGCACTACGTTGCTAGAGGCTTCAGTCATCGCGAGGGCATTGCTTCACGTAGCAGCACAGCGTGACTACGAGCTTCGCTCTGGACTTCTCCACTGCGTTCCTCCAGGGCGGTCTGCATGAGCAGATCTACCTTCTTCATCTGCTAGGCTTCTCTGACTCTTTCCCTCTTGAGACCCAGCGGTTCCTCCAGCACCCGGTTTGCAGTCTGCGATAGGTGCCCTGAGAGTGGCATGACATGCTGCGTGCTACACTAGCAGACATTTAGTTATTTCCGTCCTTTGCTGATCCGTCGCTCTTTGCTCGCTTAGGCCAGACTTTGTTCTACATCCTAGTCTACGTAGATGACCGGGTCTCGCTACCGCAGACAGAGACGCACTAGCCTCGGTGAAGGCCGAGCTGCTGATCTCCAGGGACAGAGTAGTGCACACCATCACTCTCACACAGTCACAGTCTTGGTGCGCCAGGTCCTTCAGAGGTTCGGCCTTTAGTTTTCCTCTACACAGCCAACCCTTCTTCCAGTCGACCAAAAGCTCTTAGCTTCGGTCCCTGACAAGCCCATCAAGCCCAGTGGTCAGTACGCAGAGCTTTTGGGTTTCCTCATATACCTGATGACTTGCACTCGTCCAGATCTCGCATACCCTCTTAGTATCCTTCCTCGCTTTGTTGCGACAGGCAGACACCGACCCCAGCTCTGGTTGGCCGGTAAGAGGGTGTTGCGTTATCTAGCAAGTACATCAGGCATGGGGCTAGTGCTGGGAGGACGCTGGCCAGTGGTTCTCACAGGGCACACAGACGCTTCGTAGGCGGACAACGCTGCAACGCTCAGGTCCTCCCAAGGCTATTTTGCTTTAGCCTTGGTGCAGGCGCCATCTCATAGAGGCCCACCCGTTTGTCGTCTATTGCACAATCTATTTGTGAGGCTGAGATCTACGCTAGTGCCATGGCAGCAAAGGAGCTCCGCTGGCTGACGTTCCTACTCACTTACTTAAGTGAGCGGCCTAGCTCTGTCCCGGTCCTGTACGCTGACAACAGGGCCATGATCCTCCTGTGTGATTAGCCTCGATTAGAGGGCTGAGCGAAGCACCTTCATCGGCGGTACTTCGTCCTGCACGAGCTACAGCAGCGCGGACTGGCACGCGTAGTACACTTAGCCTCCGGTGCCAACATAAGTGGTCTCTTGTCTAGGTTGTACTCTTGCTAACTGGTCTTTGGATCCCTGCCTCAGAGGTTGGACCAGTAGTGCCGCCCTGAGCTGCGTGTTTCTTGCTAGGCACTACCCCTTGTTTAACCTAGGGAGTGTGTCAACTTCTACATATGCTTTATATGTAGAAGTTATAGGCTATATAGGTTTGTGTTCTTGGAGGGTACAAAACCAACCCTATATGTCCCCTGTATCTCCTTGTTCTAGCTACTTTGCTACTCTAAGAGTCTCCCCAAAAGCCTGTCGAGCTTCTTCATTCTTCTATTTTAATGCAAGACATGCCTCTTGCCTCTCCCCTGCCTTCTTAGCTCCACTCTTGTTAAGTTAGACACGTCTTAGGCAGCGCGGACCACGCCATGTGCTGACTTGTTCAGCATGAGGCACTCCTTGTGCTTCCCTAGCTCCATTCTCGTTAAATCATGCGTGTGGGGTATGCTCACTCGCGCCTTCTGTGCTCTCCTCGGCGGCGGGGCCCCTATAAAATGGTGAACTGCTCGTGGGATCCAGATCTGATCCCTTTCCTATGGGCTCGACTGTAAGCCATGGTTCCTATCACCAGGAGTGGGTTACCTGCTATTCTCAAAAGCAACGCTCCAACTGCGCCTCAAAATCGCCACTATGCTCCCTGCACCTCCTGCTCCTCCAGCGCCGCCGGCCCCTCCTGATCCCCTGCACCTTCCATGCCCCCTGCACCTCCTCCCACCCCTGCGCCTAATATTATCCATCCGCAGTTGCCCTTCTATGCAGTGGTGCAGCCCAAACCCACCGTCGACTTTGACAGCTTCGTCGAAGTCGAGGAGAAGGCTGCTGAAGCTGCCGAGGCTGCTCTAGCGGCAGTGAACAAGTCGTTCAAGTCCGCAGTGCACGGTGAGTACTTAGAGTGGTTCATGACTGAAGGCATCAGCACTTGCACCCGTGCAGGTATGCGTGGTGTCTTCCTTTGACTTTTACCCTTCCTTGCTAACAAAGAGCGCATTCTAACTACCTGTCCAATGTCTTTGTCATTCATCATGTCTTTGGGCACATTCTGGTGGGATTGCTTGAATAGGAAATCTCAAGAAGCCCCTCCCGGAGGTAATAATGAGGTGGGTGGGCAAGGCATGGGCTGCCGTTCCTGCCGAGCTGATCTGTGCAGCGTTCAAGACCAAGTGAACCCCATGATTGGTCAACCGAAAATTGTGAATGTCAATGAAATCGCCCTAAATACCTCGCGTGCTGGCCCGCGTCAGCATGTCACTCGGCATACTCAAGACGCAAAGGCTGCTCATTTTGGACCCAAGCATATGGGTGAGTTTGTCCGCTACTCAATGTGTGCTTGGATTTTTCATCTCAATGTGTGCTTGGATTTTTCATCTCAATGTGTGCTTGGATTTTTCATCTCAATGTGTGCTTGGATTGCACCTTTGTCGTTGATGAGGCTTAGAAGATCCGATACAGTACGTCGTATCAGCGATGGATTGGTGGCAGCAGGTGGTACAGTCGCGCGAGTAGCCGGATACGATGCCACGCGTGATTGGGCAATTTTGCACGACCAACCATTGGTAAAAACCTTATGGCAAAGTGGAAGAGTACAACACATGACAATCGTAGTGCGCGGGAATTTGTTGTCGCTTTGAGCACGTCAGCGCTAGCGGCCAAGCACGCGACCGCTTTTGCACTTGACGCCAACTCGGACCAGTTCAAGACCATACCAACAGCTTCCAGGAACTAATCGGCTACATGCACCCAGA